ACCCTGGTCAGCAAGGAGCAGAGGCCAAGCAGTTCCATGCTCTCCCACCTGATTTTAGCACGTGGGGACATCCACGTGGAGGGATTGAGGCAGCTGCTGCCGTAAGCCCCAGGGCTGGAGCTGCTCTGGTTCCTGCAGCTGGTTAAAAGTCCCTGGGGGCCGTGGGGGCCCTCGGGAGGGCTCCGCTCCTGTGCCCGGCGGAGCAGCCGCTCAACGTGGCACGGACCGCTTGGAGTAGGGCATGGGCCTCAATGTCCCCAATTAGATGTAGGAAAACGAGAAAACTTCCTTTATCTTCCTTTTTAGTAAAACTTCCTGTATACTTACTAAAATATATGTATTTTCAATGAAGGAACTATATTCCTCCACTACAGATTGTTTTTTATTAAAGCAAAAAGTGTTAACGTATGTGTTGTGGTGTTTTTATTTTTCTCTCATGTACAGAAATAATTCATCAGTTCATTTTGGAACAGCAGAAAGGAAACAGAGTGCCTCTCTGCATCAACCCGCAGTCTGCTGCTTTTAAGAGCTTTATTAGGTAACTGTATGTAATCACATCTGATACTAATTCACATTTATTAGTAGTACACAAATCACTCATTGAAAATATTTTATATTTAACATGCATAAAAGTAGAGAAGACCCATAGGCAACTGCTGCAAAAAGAATACTTCAAGCACATGAGTGATGGAATTCAAGCTGACCTTAAGTGAAATGTGCAAAAATTTCAAGTGATAATTTTTAAAATGTATGTACAAAAGTACAAAAATCAGCCTATCAGAATGAAATTAGCAGATTACCAAGTTGAATTTTCATTGTAAAAGTGCATTGTACGAACTTGAAAATGGGTGACAGCGATAGCTGTGGAATGGCTAGGAATCGCGCAGTGGGTTGAAGTATTCGCTCTTGGTGCTGTTGACTGCCGGTCTGGGTCTTTTTTGTCTTTGCAATTTTTGCAGTGAGTCAGGCATTAACTTTCTTGTCTATGAGCTGTTGCAGGTGAACACTGATTTTCTGTCTCTCTCGCATTCTAGTTCCACAGTTGCTCAGCCATCCGAGATGCCGCCGTCTCCGCTGGTTTGGGAATGAAGTGGAAGATAATATACTACTGAAGATGTAATGTAGCTTTCCACTGGAGTCTGGGATTTGCAATTCTGGAGGTTAATCATGCTTGTACTGTAATTTTACTAATGAAGTTTTAAATTAACAACCACTACTTGTACAATATGAATAATATTTAGAAATGTACTAGACTTTTAATCTTGTAAAGTGGTTGTGCTTTTAGAAGAAAATATTTTACCCAGAGTTGCACGTGTTTTATGAATTCTAGTGCAGCTGTGATGGCTCAGCTCAGAACAAACAGAATTGAACCAAATTTGGGGAGGTTTTTTTGTTCTCTCTTTTTTTTTTTCTTTTTTTTTTATTGAAGTGAGATTGTACAAAAAGATAGACATACATTTTGATATTGAGCCATTCCTGAAGATTTTGGGTTTTCTAAGACTAAGGAATACAGAAAACTTGACTGCGACCAATCATGAAGTCACATCAGATGACAGTGACCAGAAGACATGGGCTTGTCACCTGATAATCAAATCCTATAAATAGCTTCTCACTAGAGCTGTGATGGTGATGTGTGCTGTTCTAAAATCAAATGTTGTGAGTAGAGAGAATGAGTTTGTGACTAGGAGAGACTAAACTTCTGTTTCCTTACCCAGTATAAATATATATATATATTTAATCTATTTTTATTAGAAGTTTTTCTGCTCTTTCTTACATAAAACCCCCCAGCATGCATCTTCTATGTGTGTAAATAATTCCATTTATGGGCTAATTTCAGAGATCCCTGACATCATTGCTGTATAGAGAGAAACTAGCTTGCACATTTTAGGTCTGTGAAATTTTGTGAGAACTTTTTCCTGCACTGGACAGTTGAGAAAAAAAAAGAAAAAAGAAAAGGAAAAAAAAAGCACATAGGGAATTATGTTAATTGTGTTTGTGTCTTTAGGCAAAGCTGTGGAAGTCTTGAAATGTCACAGTAGTAAATAACTTTTATTACTTTTTGGCTAATTCTTTTCTGTTGGAACACTGAATTCTGTGCATATGTATATATGAACACAAATTGAAGGCCTCTACCTCCTGGAGTATACAACTTGGTTTGTTTACCTCCACATGATTTTTTTTTTTTTTTTTTTTTTTTAAGTTCAGTGTGGAGACTTGAAACTTGAATGTCCCTTCCAACTTTTATATTTAAAACAAGACTAGAAAATTGAAGACTGTTTTTCACCTGTACAAAAGAAATACTAAAGGGTGGTCTTAAAATTTGAGCATTGGTCTGGAGAAAAACCGTGGTGTTTGTTATGGACAATTAACTGTTAAAGTTATTGTAAGTTATCTGTATTTAGCAGAGTATTTTCAACAAGAGTGATCTGAGCTGAAATTGGAGACTATTAGTAAGTTATGTTTGGAAGTTTTAACTTCAATGAAGTAATTATTTGCTGTGAAAGAGAAAAACATTGAATTACTGAACAAAGATGGTGCAATATCTTTGTTTTTTATGAGGCTCCTGAAAATAAAACCAACTGAAGCATTTCAATTCACTTGAATGAGAGACGTATTTAATTAAAAGAGCCCAAGAAGACACTGGTATGAAAGGTAAAATCTCAGAGGTTGGTCAGTTAATGTGGCACACTTGCTGGTCACTTTGTAAAATGTAGATTTGAAGTACAGTGGTGAAAACATTAAATGTGACATTTGAAAAAAGAAGTGGTGTTATCTCTATTTCCTTCCTGATCTCCCACCTTTATTTAAGAATCAGTTGTCTCAATCTTGATTGAATAATGTCTCAAAGAATCCAAGTAAAAAGAGTTTACAATATATTGTTTTGGACTTGGTTTTGATTTTTACACATACACACACACAAGCACAGATATGCTTATATATACATTTATATATGTTTTGTAATCAAATACAGATTTAATCTTTAAGCTTGATCAAGTTTTGCCTTGATTAAGGCAAAACTTGTTATTGAAACCAAGACAAGAAGCTGGCTTGCCCTTTACAGGGTATCTGAAAGAGATCCTTCCAGTAGAGATGGTATTTAATTTGCAAATCCATTATTTTCTATATTGTTTTCTCATTGTTTTCTATATTACTGATGCAAATTATGCATCAATAACAGCACCGTAACAATATGAATGAAAAAAAAAATGTGTGTTTTATGGAGCTAATTGCCAGAGTTCTGTGGGTAAATCTCATTCATAAACATAAGAATAAAATGTCTTCTGGACATTTACCTTTCAGGGTGTTTTGACACAGATGTGGGCAAGGCACTTTGCAGGATGAGTGTGTGTAATTAAAATGGGGTGTGCACGTATGTAAAGAACATAATTAGTCTCTGCTTTATTTTATTTTTTATGTAAATGAACTGCAGTGGAAGCGAGAGCTCATTAGAGCTGTCCCTGGCGAAGATCATTTGTTTGTAAAGGGAGTGCACGGCTATGTGTGCATTTACACTTGAGGTGATCTACAGTGTGAGGTATCAGAAGCTTCTTTCTTTCCCAGTAAGGTTAAAATCTTGCTTGCAGTGTAGACTGTAGTTTTCAGAGCTGTACTTCAATCATTTCTAAGCTTTGCTGCTGCAAGTGAATTAGAACTTACCATTTCTGATCTGCAAGCTCACTACATACAGCTTCTGTATCTCCTGTTATTAATTGTGCCCTGACAAGAGTACAGATATAGCAAATGCAAAAAAAAAACTGTTTAAAATTACACACAAGTTCTCAAAAAACATTCAAATATTAGAATCCTAATCTTTCTGTGTTTACAGCTTGGAGATGATGTGCTGGAACTAAGCAAGATTAGCTTTTGCCAGAATCCGTTTCCTGATAATACAATAAAATATCATTCATCAATTTATTTCAATTAACTTTTTAATTTTATAAGTTTTCTTTCTCTTGCATCCAATTCTAGTTATATATTTGTGATATCTGCATCCTGAGAAAGTATTTATGGTGCATTGGTTAAATAATGCTATTTATTTGTACTAGTTTTTCATTGTTGCTTTGGCTTCTGTCTGTTTGATGAAGTGCAGTTCTTGACGCAGTAAAGAGGTAAGCCTTTGAGAAAAGCTCGAGCAAGAGATGCAGTTCTGTGCGTCACCTGCAGCGCTGAGGTTGGAGGTGAGTGAGATGCCTGACTGTGTAGGCTCGTTGGTGCTTCCTGCGCTCTCTGTGTCTGTGGTTCCTGTGTTTGTGCCCGTGCAGAGGGAGCCGTCGATGTCTTGCAGAGCACATCACTGGCCGCTGCTGTCTGCAGGTCGCAGTATTAACACATATTGCATTGCACTGCTGGCCTTGGTAGGACTAACAGAAACAGGATATCACTTCAAAGGGCCGAATCCTCTGTGGATATAAATCACATTTTCCTTCAGGGGCTTGCACCATGAGCCGTGACTCAGAGTTACAGATGAGCCTGGGGGAATAAATCACAGATGAGGTCCCAAAGTTGAGAGCAGATCAGTGAAGAAGCTGGCAGAGGTTTGGGTAAATAACTTCTTTTGGATAAATAACATCTATCAGAAAGGTTGTGCATGAGGGACAGGGTTGTTAAATGCCTTTCTGCTAGCTGCAGCATTCGGCCAAGGAAGGTGAAGGGAATGAGTATGAACTGTGGGAAAACAGAACAGCATTTTTGAGAACAAGAAGCCGTCCCGCGGCTGCTGGATTCGTGTTCCGTGTTCGCGTCTCAGGCGTGAGTGGTTTAGGAAGACGCGTTGCAGGGCAAGGCGGCCCGTTGCTTGCTCTTGTGGTCTGCGTTGCGGCGCAGGGGTGCGCGTTGTGTCCTGGGCAAGCGGGCATGGGTTCCTGCCTGGAATGGCTGGGGTGCCGAGGAGGGGGCGCGTGGGGCCTGGGCGGCGCGCGGCCTCCCTGCCGCCGGGAGGGCAGCGCGGGCGCGGGCCGAGCGGGACGCCGGGAGGCAGGAGGGGCCTGCGCGGCGCGGCCATGGCGGCTCCCACGCGCCTCCTCGAGTGGCTCTTCGCCCTCTACTTCCTCTCGCACATCCCCATCACGTTAATGATCGACCTGCAGCCGCTCCTGCCCGCGGCCGGCCTCTACCCGGAGAGCGTGAGTACCGCTGCGCGGCTCGCCGGGACCGGGAGCCTCTGCCGGCCGCCGGGGCGGCGCGCGGGGAGAAGGCGGCGGGAGGCTGAGGGATGGCGATCCTGGCAGAGCTTCTGAACGGCACTAGTCTCACAGTCAGCTTTCCGTTCGTTTAAGTGGTCTTGTGTTTATTTTGTTAAGAAAATCTAGCATGTCAAGAAATGCAGAAAAAAAAATGCAGAAATTTCCTAAAGTAAAATAGCAATAAAAAATCAACACATGTCTATCTGCATTATGATTTAGATTTTTCTCCTGCAGTCATTCATTTGGGAAACAGAATAAATTTGATTTGCTGATATGTTTAGTGGCCATTAGTATTTTTTTTTCTTTTTTTCTTCAGTAGATTTCCAAATCAAATATATATGTATATTGCTCCTTTCATTTGAAATGCCTACAGTGAAAGAGACATAGACTATAGTGTCAACAATGGTTTTCTGAGTAGTGTTTTCCTGCAGGCAGAGGAAGGCAGACGTGGACTCCCAGGCAATCCCTGTTCCTGGGAAGGTGCCACGCTGCCCTGCCCGCCACACGCCATCCCTCCAACGTCACTCTGTCACCACCCTTGCTGTTCGCTGCTCCTGGGCTTGGATCACAAAAATACAAGAGGGGATTTTTACTAAAATGCAAGACCGGGCATATCCAAATGTGTTAATACAAACCTTTGGTTGCCTGATTTTTGAATAAGATAATGTAAGACAATAAATGTAATAGCTAAAATAATAGGATGGCGCACTATCAGTTTGACTTGTAAGCAGGGTGAGATCAGCCACAGCTTCCTACCAGCCCCTCATTTAGTGAATTTGATTTTTGCCATCCAGTACAATTACTACATTACAGAAACCCTTTCTCATTAATAGTTAACTAGCAAATCTCAATAAATATCTTTCAGTTCAAAGTCCAGCTGAAAGCCCTGCTGGAATTGACACTTCCACACGGCAAGAGGTCGCACGTCACCGCGGCCGGCGGTGGCGTTTTGTCCCTGTTGCAGCTGATGTTCTCTGTATTAACCTGTTGTTTTGTTCTTTCCTTAAGTTGACAGAGTTGTTACAGTGGTATGCGGTCACCTTCAGAGATCCAATGATGATGCAGCCCCCCGAGTGGTTTAAGTCGTTCATATTTTGTGAAGCCTTCTTACAATTGCCTTTCTTTCCCGTTGCAGCATACGCCTTCTTAAAAGGTTGGTATAAAAGTGGAAGAGCAACATGTCATAGGCAGCATTTCTGCAGAACGTTTGCTTTTTGCATAGCAATTAAAGTTTATCCAGCAATCTGAAGTAATTCTGGGGACACACTATGTGGGGTACTATTTTCTTGCAAGTTTTACTGGAGAAACTGCATAGAATAAGGCCTGTTGGAAATTAAAAAAATGCAACTGTGCGCCCTTGTCACCTGCAGCCATTTATGTGTAACCAGCACCGAAGTTTAGCATCTGGCAAGCTATCAACATAGACAAATTGTGGGTCAAATCTGTGTACTTTGTTATTTTAAAACTTCTGTGATCGTGGCTTCATGCTATATTTCCACCAAGTTAGATCCTCATTTCCTTTGTGCTACTAGTATTAACAGATTTTCTACCAGCTATTAACCACGACCATGGCTCAGCCTGTCACAGATATAACAGTTATTGCTCTGTTAATTTAAAAGCCACTGAATTCTGCTCTTTCCAAGACTGTTTCACCATTGCTTTGTTTTTGCGTCCATGCAGGTGGCTGCAGGTGGATAAGGACTCCCGCAATCATCTACTCGAGCCACGTAGCTACAACCCTGCTGGCCATCCTGGCCCACATCCTGTTTCACGATTTCTCGAAATCTGAGCATTCGGGTCCGCAGACACAACGTGAACGCCTCATTCTCTTATCTATATATGCACCATATTTGCTGATTCCTCTTCTGATTCTCTTTACCATGCTGTTCAGCCGCCAGTACAACCACGTGGAGAAAAGGAAAAAGAAATGAGATAGCTATGGAGATCGTTAGTGCAGCTCAAACGTCGTGCTCGCTCCTTAGCGCCTCTGCTGACCTGATCCTTTGGGACCAACGTCTGTGTAATCCCCTCAACCGCCCCAGCTCCCACCCACACAGCAGCCTCCTGCCATAGCCCTTTGAACTGCCCGGAGCTCGTGCTTGAATGGGGAACAGCTTTGGCACAAGCCTCTCGGCAATTCCCTGTGCCATCTCTGCACATGCTGCTCGGGGCACCCAGCCCCGCTCGCACAGCTGCTCCTGTGCGGCACATCGGGACCCAAAAACCTGCATTTCTGAACACCTGAAGTTAACATACTTTGACAATAAGGCACGCTTCTCCCCAAAGGAATTTGAAGAACTTTGAACAAACATTTGCAAAATACTCGCTTCTGAGGAAATCACTTCTAGTATGGAATAACTAAACTAGATTTTCAGTTAAACTGACTTAGCAATAATTAAAAAGAATTTAAAATGATTGATTAATCCATACAATTAATGTTGCATTAGACTGTAAAGTTACAGTAAATTAACGCTACATAGTGCTAGAGGTTTGTTGTTGTTCTCAATCGAATCTGTAAGAATCAACTTTGGAGATTTGTGCAAAATTTACAGATCAAAAGCATAGGCTTTTCAGGTCTGCACTGGTGTTTAATTTAGTTTCTAAAGGTTTTGAAAGGCTGGTGTTTCCATACTTAGTTGTGTAAAGACAAGAATAAAATGCATCTATAGGTACTTCCACATAAGGCTTGATTTTAGTATCAGGTGTTAAGTGCTTGCAGTGTTGTAAAATGTGGGCATTCTCTTCTGAAATGTCATGTTCATACTTACTGTTTATATCCGCCCCTTATGTCGAAGTAGCCTTGGAATGAATAGTTTGTTTCATCAGTTCCAGGTTCTACTCTTAAAATACTCAGAAAAGCATTCTAGTCTATCACCAGCTACTTGGACTTTATACTTCCTATGTAATTTAATCTTAATTCTGCTGTGTTTTCTACTTTTGTAATTGATTGTTACTCACAAATCTGTCCTTGTCTTCTCTTTAACGGGATAGCAAAAGAAAATCTGATCAATATAGATAAAAATTACTGCTGCTTTTCTCTGTTGTATGTTGTGTTTTTATACATATGAAAATGCTACGTGTCGGAAATTCTTCATTAGAAGTATGCAGGGAGTTACAAACTCTTGGGAGCAGAAATAACTTAGCCAAAGCAACTAATTCTGGGATCTCCACACAGTCTGAAAACAATAATTTATTTCCTGATTTCTGCAGAAGAGTTGTACACTTCAAAAAATGTGAGACAACTCAGCAGCAGTAGTGTTAATTCAGTGTAATCTGAATTTAAACTGCTGACTGTACCAAAAAAATATAAAATTAAACCACAGAGCTGTGTTTATTTATGTCTTTTAGAAAGCTCTCCTTATTGCCATTTTTAATGTAAATTTATATTGCATTAAAAAACATTTTATTTTGTACATCTATTCAATCATACACAGGGAAAAATTGCATATTTTTGAAAGCCCCAGAATCCTGGAATGTTTGTGTGCCCAAGTCAACATGCTGTTTGTCTTAAAATCTGCTATTTCTGAAAGATGAATTGGTCAATGAATTCGTGCTGGTCAGCTTCTATTTTACACAGAGTCTCATACTCTATTCGGTATCTGAAAGAGAAAAAAAAAAAGTTGTAAACGACATTCAACTCCAGTTCTTTAGATGATTTAGGTCTATCTTCATGGGTCTATTGCAAAGAAAGCAAGCACATAAGTCATCTTCAAAGCAGTAGCAACCTCCGTTGGACCCTGCGGTTCGGCAGCACCCACAGAACGCGGATGAGCGGCCCCGAACCGCAGCGTTAGCGGTTTCTTCGGCCGCGTGATCTCACGTCCCCTTTCGCCACAGAAGCCTGAAACGAGGCTTCCTCTAGGAGAGGCAGACAGGGCCCCAAGAACGGTGCCTCTGCGTCCCACGCACGCCTGGCTTAGGAGGATGCACCTTAGCTGCAGATGGACCGCAGGAATAAGCTTTGGAACTGCCCTCCTAGAGGCCAGCAGGTAAAACCATGTGGCTACGTATTATGAGACCACATAATAGAGCTGAGTTTGTCACGTATGACATATTGCTTTCTTTTCAAAATACCCCAAAGTCCCCCAAAGCATTTAATATAAAACTTACCTTTCCAACTGCATCTTTTTCTCAGCTATTAAAGCTTGAAGTTGCTGTTCCTGAGCTTCTCTTTGCTTTGCTATAGATTTCAGCAAATTTCGTGCACCAATAGCCTATCAAAACAGGATTTTTGGTGATGAGGTTATATTAGGAGTATTTCATTACCACCAAATTGATTTTGAAGTATTTCAGGCATGCCAACAACAGATGAGGGTATCATCTTGATGCGGAGAGCTTGGTGGAATAGGTAGGGATCCTGCAGCAGTTGTGCTGTTTAAGGCATTTTAGACTTCCTTCAAACTCCGAGTGTTCACAACAGCCCGACAGAAAGGCCACTGCCTGCTCTGGAAATGCAAGCTGCTCATGGGCTACTAGTACTACAGACAGACACGCTCTGCTTACGTTATTTTCCCCAGAAGAAGGATGAAAAAGCAATCACCTACAATTGTGCTAAAAGTTTATTTTTAATTTTGCAGTAATACTGGGAAAAAAAGTAGTCTTCTTGCCATGTAGAAATAAACAAAGGAAGTTTTAGGAGTACTTATGAAGTCATGCATTTATTTTGTCCTTGGACAGCCCCTCTCCTCATGGGGCCCCTTATGAACTAATTTCAAACGGTAGAAAAACTCACTGGAGAGCATTCCCATGCAACACACTGGTAGCTGCAATGGGAGGACTATCACATGCAGGAGTAAAGTGACACTCCAAGTGTGCTATGAAATTTCCCCAGCTGTTAACATCACTTCTCTGGAGCCCTGTGCCTTCGCAAGGGGCAGGCAGGGAGGAGCTAGGAGGGAAATAGCTGCGTGATGCTGAACAGAAAGCGTTCGGCTGTGGGCACGGTGAAGGCAGGAAGGAGGGGGGCCGTTTCTTCACACCCTGTATGGACACAGCACATTACAAACCAATAATTAATTCCACAGTACCTTCATCTTCTCACTCTCGGCAGCTTTTGCTAGTTGATCAACGAGTTCAATTAAGCTACCCACTATTTTCTGAAATTCTACCACTTCTGCAAAGAAAAAAAACATCAAGTAACACCCATGAAAATCATAACGGGCAAGGCTAACGCGCTACAGGCTTTGGCGCTCAGCTGGGACCTCCTAGTCCTTGGAGTTTCCTGCCAAGGGCTGCGTTTCCAGCTCTCACCTCATCCCAACGGGATATAAGGGGGGCAGAGAGGAGCCCTCAGGCGGCAGGCGGGCCTGCTCCGCTCCGCTCTGCTCGCTCGGGGCCAAGCGCAGGGCGTTTTGCGCCGCCGGTCCGGGTCCCGGTCCCGGTGCCGGCACTTACTGTCCACGAAGGCGCCGCACTCCTCGCGCAGCTGCGCGGTCTGCTCGGCCACGCCGGGCTCGAGCACGCGCAGCCTGCTGAGCTCGTCGAC